CTTTACCCAGAAGTTAAGTGTGTTGACAAATTTGTCTTGTAATATCTGCGCCATCCTATTTTGTCATTACAGATAAGAGTTGAGTGGGTTTATAAAGAGGGGCATTAAGTGGATTGTAGGATTGTATTATGACTCTTACGATTATCTTCATATTCTTTGGCCCTCCTAAGGAAATTGGAAGGTAAGCCACAATTTGTTCAGTGTAGCATTATTATAGTAAAAAACTGGAATAGTTCAAATAACAAAAATACATGAGTGAGTAGAGTATGTGAATGGATATTTCACAGCCTTAAAGGTGTCTATAAGGAATTTTAATGACTTGTTGGAAGCTTATGATAAGTGTAAAACAAAACAAAACCAAAATGGGCGCCTGGGTGGCTCAGATGGTTAAGCATCTGCCTTTGGCTTGGGTCATGATCCCAGGGTCCTGGGATCGAGTCCCGCATCGGGCTCCCTGCTCCTTGGGAGCCTGCTTCTCCCTCTGCCTCTCTCTCTCTGTCTCTCATGAATAAATAAATAAAAAGTTTAAAAAAAAAAAAAGTCTGTTTGGAGCCTCCATATGTCAAAACTTCCTATAAGAGGTTGAAGACACAGGTCTTCATATCAGCACTAACAATCCAACTTCCTTGGTTATCATATGGTCAGGAGTTTGGGACAAAGGAGACTTTTAGTCATCTTTTGGGTTATCTCCGATTAAGATGGTATTCTGTCAAAGATTTCCTGCAATAAATATTAGGCGCTAGGGCCACCACATGCCGCGCTAGACAAACAGATAAACAAGGGTGAAAAAGGAGTCTATGCCCGGGGGCTGCTGGGAGTTACCAAGTCTGGGTGTAACTTGCACATGCTGGGGAGAGCGCCAGATCCATTCCTGATTGGAATTCCAGAATTTAATTGAAAGTAAAGCAAACGGGAGGCTTTGACTTCTCCCACCCACAAGGTGGTGGTGGGACTATTCTCATCAGAATGCCTCATTCCCTTCTGGAAATTCGAGACTCGAACATAGGGATAGAAGCGCTTTCCTTCTGAGAAAACACATCCACGTTCAGGGAGCAGCAACCCAAGAGTATGGTCCCAGGCAGACCATAGAATAAACGTTTATGGAATAACCGTAGGAGACTTGCATTGAAGTAAGTGCCAACCACAGTAGGACCCTGTCTCCTGGGGCTTGAAATTTTGTACTTTGGGAAATCTAAGTGTGCAGATGTTTGCACTTTTGATACTTGTGTCAGTGGCTATCGACACTGGCTAGCCTTGGGTCTTGCAGCCCTGGAAAGGTGAATAAAGGACCATGACAACCTTTTGTTCCATAGTCTACCGCTGGGCTTCCAGTCACCTGCTGGCTGGTGTCGACCTGTCCACCTGCCCTTGCCTGACTGAGGCAGCAGAGGTGATGACGGTTTGGGGGGCGGGCATGCAGAGGGCAGGAAAGGCAGGGAGGGCCTTGGGCTGCTTTGAGGAGGCCTTCCCAAGACTTGCCACCTGTTTTCTGCTCTTCACACCCTTCTCACGCCCTTCTTTCTACACACAGTTCAAGGGTAACTGCCCTCCGCAACTGTGGCCCAGTTTACCCGTGACCTTCATCTAGCCTCATCCCCCAGGCTGCATCTTTTCCATTCTTTCTTTGAAACAGCCTTATCTTGAGACTTTTGTGACTTTGTAAAGATAGGGTTTCTGATGATCACAAGACCACTAATCTCCCAACTATGTAATCTCCCAATCTATGGTTTAGATTTGTATTGAATCCGTATTTAGGGGCGGGGTGGGGGGAGGGCACCTGGGTGCCTCAGTCAGTTAAGCGTTGGACTCTTGATCTCAGCTCAGGTCTTGATCTCAGAGTTGTGAGTTTTCAAGGGCTTTGTTGGGCTCCACGCTGGGCGTGGAGCCTACTTAAAAGAAACAAGAAACAAGATTTGGGCCCAAGCTTAACTAGGTAAAACGATGAAATGATCTCAGATGTGGAGATTGGTTCAGGAGTATGCCTCGTCTATTTTTAAACTGAAAATGTGAGGTGAGGGGGAAAGTGTGACCAAGTAGTGTTCTGTGTTTTTTAATTTGCTTTGGGCATAGTATAATAAATGTGTCATTTTCTAAATCTGGATTATTCATGGTCTATTTTAAATCCTGGGTTGGCTCCTGACAGGCCAGTTCTCAACAGGACCCTGGGTTGACTCCCCTCCTGTCTAGTCCTGGTATGGACAGGAAATACAACCTTATTTTAATAGCAGCTTCCATTAATTTTTTAAAGTAAGTCAACTGTGAGAATTCTCATTTTCTCAAACAAAATATTTGTACTTGGATCCTGTGTATTAGCCTGGTTGTGTATGAGTCCATTAAATGGGGGTGGTAAATGGGTTTTAAGCACCTTATTCTTGGCCTGCTGTTTTTACTATAGAAACCAGGAGAAACCCTTCAACCATCCTAGGTTTTGTTTAAAATGCCTTTTTTTTTTT